GGGCTGATGAGCGTCCCAGTTGAACCCTGTCCAGAGGATCTTAAGTGCAACAATGTCTACTGTTTCAAGCCACTGGTTATGGAGTCACCTGTTAGGCAGCAATAGATAACTGATAGACTTGGAATACAAGCCTATATTCTTTTTTTATGTTTTATTAACTTTAGAGGGCAAGGAAGGGAGAGGGAGAGATAGAAGCATCAATTGGTTGCCCCCTGCACACCCCCTACTGGGGATCAAGCCTGCAACCCAGGCATACGGCCTGACTCGGAGTTGAAGCGGCCACCTCCTGGTGCAGGCATCAATGCTCAGCCACTGAGCCACACGGGCCCGGCACAAGCCTATATTCTTGCATGGCCCCACGTGACCTAGTCTCCATCTCCCAACCTCAACCACACTCACCACCACTTACTTATTCAACTCCAGCCACGCAGGCTGCTGCTGTCCCTCCAACATTCAAGCCCATTTCTGTCTCAGGACCTATCCACGTGGCTCCCTCCTTAATTTAAGTATCAGCTCAAATGTCACCCTCTGGAGTTCTCCCTAAACTCCCCCTGGCCCTCGTGTCTCTCTGTCACCCTATTTTATTTTTCTTCATGGCTCCACTGCCGCCTAAAATGACATATTTGCCCATTCAATTGTTTTTCTTGTTTGCTTTGTTGCTTCTATCAGACTATGAGCTCCAGGAGGGGGAATTTTGTCTGCTTTGTTCATTGCTGCATTCCCAGGACTGGGAACAGTGCCTAGCACGATGAACACACTCAATAAATCTGTTGACGGAATGCAGTCACGGAGCTCTCCCGTCTCCCAACCCTAGCCTCCACCCTCCCCACCTCACCCAGCCCTGCGTGTGTCACACACTTCTCACTGCACAGGCCTCCTCCTCAGAGTGCAGCGCAGGACTCAAGGCCTGGCTCAGGCAGTGCCTGCCGAATGGCTGATCAAAGCCGGCCTCCCCACCTGCCGCATGCTACCAGCACCTGCAGCGCCTGTTAAACTCTCCACCTGGGCCCACCCCCACAGTCTGGGTCAGGAGATCTGGGATAGGCTCCCAGATTCTGCATTTTTTTTAATGTATTTTATTGATTTGAGAAAGGGAGAGGGGGGGGAGAGAGAGAGAGAGAGAGAGAAACATCCATCATCTGCCTTCTTCTTGCCCCCTATTAGGAATCAAGCTGGCCACCTGGGCATGTGCCCTGACCGGAAATCAAACCAGCAACCACTTGCTGCATGGGACATGCTCAGTCATCTGAGCCACACCAGACAGGGCTGCATTTCTTTTTCTGTTTTTTTAAAAATATATTTTATTGATTTTTTACAGAGAGGAAGGGAGAGGGATAGAGAGTTAGAAACATCAATGAGAGAGAAGCATCGATCAGCTGCCTCCTGCACGCCCCCTACTGGGGTTGTGCCCACAACCGAGGTACATGCCCTTGACCGGAATCGAACCCGGGACCCTTCAGTCCGCAGGCCGACACTCTATCCACTGAGCCAAACCAGCTAGGGAAAGGCTGCATTTCCTAAAGTGCCCCAGCCCTAACTGGTCTGGCTCAGTGGGCAGAGCATCGGCCTGCGGACTGAAGGGTCCTGGGTTCAGTTCTGATCAAGAGCACATGCCTGGATTGTGGGCTCAATCTCCCGCAAGAGCACATGCCTGGGTTGCGGGCTCAATCTCCCGCAGGGAGCGTGCAGGAGGCAGCCTATCAATGATTCTCTCTCATCATGGATGTTTCTACCTCTCTCCCCTTCTCCCTTCCTCTCTGAAATCAATAAAAATGTTTTTTAAAAAAAGTGCCTCCAGAGAAAAACATGACCAAGACCCAGACTGGAGAAAGGCTGGCTGCAGCTGCTCGCATGTGTCTGCACGCCGCTGGAGTGTCCTGAGCGCCCTCCGTGCTGCACGCGTTACCTGTGTGCGGCGGCTTCCCCCTGAACCAGGTACTTGAGCACGGGACAGCGGACTCTGAAGTTTCCGTATTTTAACTGGATTAGTGTTGTGACAACTTCAAATTATCGAAGTACTTTCCATATTCAAAATCTTTTTGAATTTTTGAAATTTACTCACTTAAAACGATGTAGAAATAAGTGGAAGCAGCAGGTTGTGTGTATGTGTATGTACATAAGAGTTTGTCTTGTGTATCCTTTTATACTATCACAAAGGTTTGGAACAGGCATGATATGAAGGAAAAAGTAGACAAATAAATCTCTATGCCTGTAGCAAGGGCATCTCGGTCTTTTTCATATGCACTTTCAGCCTGTTCAGGGTAAGAGTTAACGCTATTCCCTACTCTTATTTTATAAGTACTACGCTCATTGTAGAAATCTGGAAAGTATAACAACAAATAAAATAATTGTCACAAAGGTTTGTTCACCATCACCTTCCCAAAAAGGAAATTATTTTTCCATCTATTTCATGCATCTTTCCGAACATCTTGTAGGGCAGGTGAGTTATGAGCCCCATTTTATGGATTAGGAGACTGAGCCCTGGCAAGGTGGGTGACTCGCTGCTCATGGTTACTCCATGCACCGGGGACAGAATGGGACCTGGGTCTCTAGGACTCCATTCCATTGCTCTTTCCTCTGGAGCCAGGGGACCACTTTTCTGTGGGGCGGTTGGGGTGACAGCCCAACCTCCGTTCCTGGCTCCAACATCACCTCCCAGCAGCTGAGTGATTTCCAAGCCTGCAGGGCCCAGAGCTGAGAGGGCCTTGGGTGAGCACCAACGAAGCTATCCAACACACCCAGAGCCCAAGAGCCCCTCGGTCCTGGGCCCTCCACCTCCCGTCCGCCTTCAAGGCACGGGTGCTCACTGGCCACGGTGATGTTGACATCCTGTCGCCGCTGACCAGCCAGGTTGGCTGCGTGGCAGGTGTAGACACCGGAATCACTCTCGGCGATACTGGCAAACACCAGCTCGCGGCCCTTCTGGTAGACTCTGCCATGCGTGGGCAGCCGGACTCCTACGTGCTCCCACCACATGCTGGGCTCCGGCAGACCCTGGGGGGGCAGGCAGGCCACACGCTCCTCGCTGCCAGCTGTGAACACCCGGGGTTCAAATGGAGGCATGTCTTCAATTTCTGTAGGAATGTGCACAGGAGGGAAACAGCCCTGTTACAGTGGGTCTTAGGGTACCTGGTGTTCTCCCACCGCAAACTTTGGCCCTTTCCCGCACAAATTCTCCCCATAATAATCTTCAGCATGCTCGTCCTCCCTCTGTCCTCCGAGCTGTTCTCCGAATGGAAACAGGAACCTAAATCTCTACATGCCAACCACTTTGAAGGCAGCCCCCACCTCAGCACCCCAGACTGAGACCCACCTGCCAGGTGAAGTGTGGCCTCCAGGACGACGGGCGGGCCCCTCTGGCCCTGGCCTATGCAGCGGTACACCCCGGCATTGCGCGGCCGGACCTGGGTCAGCAGTAGGGACCCGTTGGCAAACACCGTGGCTCTGCGGAGGTTTTGCGGGCTGCGGGGAGAGAGTGCTGACTGGAGAAGTGGCCCACAGGCCGCCTTCTAGAGGGCAAGGTGATGGTTGGAGATGTAGGAAGGTATCAGCCAGGAACAGGGCATCCCTTCCTCCCAACACATCATGTGAGTGAGTGAGTGAGTGAGTGAGTGTGTGTGTGTGTGTGTGTGTGTACATGTGCATGTGTGTACCCATTCATGTACATGTGCAGGCGTGTGCTCCAGCTACAGGAGACTTGGCTTTCAGAGTGGCAATGCAAGCAGCAGTGTTTAAGTGAGAGAGAGCAATGGCAGCGTGCAACTGTGAGGACAGAGGGGCCGCCTTGCTGCGGGGTCAGGATAAGCTGCCACACCCTAGTCGGTTTGGCTCACTGGATAGAGCATTGGCCTGGGGACTGAAGGGTCCCAGGTTCGATTCCAGTCAAGGGCATGTACCTTGGTTGCAGGCACATCCCCAGTGGGGGGTGTGCAGGATGCAGCTGATCGAAGCTTCTCTCTCATCGATGTTTCTAACTCTCTATCCCTCTCCCTGCCTCGCTGTAAAAAATCAATAAAGCCAAAGCCGGTTTGGCTCAGTGGATAGAGCGTCGGCCCGCGGACTGGAGGGTCCCGGGTTCGATTCCGGTCGGGGGCATGTGCCTGGGTTGCGGGCACGTCCCCAGTGGGAGATGTGCAGGAGGCAGCTGGTCAATGTTTCTCTCTCATAGATGTTTCTGGCTCTCTATCTCTCTCCCTTCCTCTCTGTAAAAAATCAATAAAATATTTTTTTAAAAAAATCAATAAAAAAACATTTTTTTTAAAAGATAAGCTGCCAGTAAGGCACCCAGTCCAGCAGCAGAAGCCCCTCGGCCACACCAGATGAACTGATGATGTGCTCACGGCTGAAGCCAGGTGGTATCCAAGTCCCTAGCCTGGGGAGCCACACCCTAAGAACCATGGCTACACCTGGCACCACAAAGGTGCTTTCTGTTTTCACGGGGCCTGGGTGAGGGCACAAGTCCCTATAAAAGAGCTGGCCTCTCCCAGCACCTTCTAGAAGTGTTTGCTTCCTCCAAAACACACGCATGTGTGTCCTGTAGGTATGTGAGTGTGTAAAGGTGCCTTTGCCATCCTATCCAGGCTGGGATCACCCAGGTCCCCTGTGTCCCTCCATCCCTGGGTCTCCACCCCTGATGGGGAAGACCCACATGGGTCGAAGCAGAGCCACTGCTAGCTCAGCTCATACACTGCCCTTGTGGGAACTAGAAAAAGACGCTCATTCCCGAGACTTCCCTTGGTTGGACTCTTTTAGTGACTACAGGACACTGTGCTGCCACCTGCCGGAATTCTGGAGTAACACATGTACTGAAGCATGACGTCTGTGATGCGTTCCGCATCCCCTTTTAGAGCACGCCCTGTGCAGTACGCACCCTGCACCACCGTTCCGGAGGCCCCTTACCGGCTGCGGTTAGTGATGGGGGTGTCATCCTCAAAGACCCACTGCAGGCTCGGGGGTGGCTCGGCTGAGAACTGACAGTGGAACATTGCCTCTTCGTTCCTCGCCACCACCACGTCCTGGGGCGCCAGCACCACCCTGGCAAAGCTCTCATCTTGGGGGGGAGAGGCACAGGCAGCACGTGAACAGCAGGTGAGTCGGCCCCTCCCATCCCGGCCCCACACCTCTCCATCCCCAGCCCAGGCGCACCAGCAATGCTCAAGGTAAAGTTCTGGCTGCTGCAGGTCTGGCCGAAGGCATTGTGGGCGCAGCAGGAGTAGACGCCACTGTGCTCAGGGCCGGCCGGCCGGAGGCTCAGGTTCCGCTCCTTGCTGCTGACCGTGTGGTTGCTCTGACCCTCGGAGAGGGGGCTCCCATCTCGGAACCACTGGTAGGTGGGCCTGTGGGGCGAGGGGGTCAGCAACAGGGAGGCAGGGGTATTCGGGGGCCCAGGGGGTGGGATACAGAATCAGAGGGTCAGGGCGAGACCCCTCAATTTGCCAGTGGGGAAACAGGCCTGGGCACACAGCCCAAGGGCACACAGCAATTTAGGGGCAGAATCATGTTGAGATTCCAGGTCTCTCAGCTCCCAGAACCCAGGATCGCTCCGCACACCATGATGCCCTTTGGGTCACCAGGGGCTGGTGTGGAGCAGCGCAGGGGCAGGGGTTGTTCCAGAATGAAGAGAAATGCATCTGAATCGAGTCTGAGATTTGGGGGAACACCCCTGTCTAGAATAACCCTCCCCACCCCCATCCCCAGAGTCGGCTCCTTACCGGGGGTGCCCGTCAATGTGACAACGCAGAGTGACCTGGGTCTGGGGCTGGATCTCAGCTTCCGAGGCCGGGTGCTTCAGGACCACAGGGCCAGTCTCAATCCCTGCGGCAGAGGCCATGGTGGCACGGTGAGGGGCAGAGCAGAGCAAGCGTGGGAGGGTAGAGGGAGGGAGGACAAGCAGAAAACGGTGGAGCCCGGAGGCTTTGAGCCAAAGGACAGTGCCAGGAAGCCCTGTGATGCTGAGGCTGGGGCTGCAGGCGGGCCACTGGAGACCAGCGCCTGCTAGTCCCTGGCAGGTCAAGCCTGACACTTGGCCACTCTGCCTCACTGCTCTTGCCATTTGTAAAAGTGTCCACCAGATCAATGGTCCAAGACACCGGGGCGTGGGGGTGGGGGACTTGGAAAAATTAGAGTTTTTATCTTCTCGGGTCCATGGAGCAGAAAGAGCTGACCGCTGTCATCGGCCTGCCCTATTCAGCTGGAAATGGGAGAAGCTTAAGGCAAGGAGGGTCCTGCAGGGCTCAGGAGTTGAGGGCCTGGCGGGGGCGGGCACAGCCCGGCTCTCACATTTGATGTTGAAGGAGGCGTTGGCACTGCGGGCCTCCTCTCCGGTGGCCTTGTCCTGAGCCACGCACTGGAAGGCTCCCGAGTCCTGCAGCCGGTCCACAGCCGCGAAGCTCAGGCTGCTGCCCTGGGCGAAACGCCGCTCGGTGTCCTGGACAGGGGCCCCGTCCAGCAGCCAGTACACGTGCACCGAGCCTGAGGCCTCGACCTCGCAGCGGAGCAGCGCCCGGCGCCCCTGCAGGGCATCCTGGGAGGTCGGCTCCTTGATGAAGACGATGGCCGCCTGGGCGCCTGCAGAGGGGGACAAGGGACAGGCAGGGTCAAGAGGAGCGGCGGCCACTGTCCTCACACAGGTCACCCCCTCGCCCTTATGCACAGGAGGGAAAAGGGGCTGTGCACACAGGCGGCGTCCAACGTCCAATGGGTGCAGGTGGGAAGGCTCATGAGACCACAATTCCCAAGGGTCCAATGAGGAGCTTTTAAACTGTGCTGGGTGCTGCACGGGAGGCCAGCTGAAGGGGGACACAGGGCCATTCCACAGGCCACGGCGAGATTCACGACGAGCGGTGTGGGCAGGCAGGGGCTCCAGAGCACCGGAGAGGGAGGAAGCCCAAGGTTGGGGTGGGGGTGCTAATGGCCACCCAGAGGAAGGGGCCCCGGACCTGGGGACCAGACCACAGGAGGTCTCGATGCTGGGCTGGGAAACAAGGGACATTAGCAGGCAGCCCTCCTCACTGCCTTCAACATCCAGGATGCTGAGCAAATTTAAATTAAATCATGATCCAAAGAGCATCTTCCAAGGATGACTGGGGGTCCACGGGTCAGGGAGGGAGCTCTGAACCTCACCCACAGGACTCCGCAGCCCAGTGTCCCGGGGGCTTCTCCGGGAGAACCCGCCCCATCACAGGAGAAGCCAATACTCTCTAGAACTCGGGCTATTCCCAAAGACATGCCAGGGCCACCCCCACACTCCCACTCTACCCCCAAGAACCCATGTGTGACCAAGGCTGGATTTCCCGTGCTAAGCTGAGAGCAGAGCCAAGTGGGTCCAGGCTTTCACTGGAATCCATTCCCCTTCCTGCACAGCTACAGCTCAGTGCTGGCCCCGGGCCCCTCAGAGAAGGGGGGCCCTGCCACCCAGGTGAACCACGGCCAGTGAGAACAAAGGGAAGAGTGAGGAGCCTGTGCTGAGCAGCAGATGGGTCTGCGAGGCGGAGGGCAGGCCAGGCAGGCGGCATGGTTACAGCAGCAGGAACAACACACTGCGCTTTGTTCCTGGCCCACGTGCGCTCCCTGCAGAGGCCCAAAGCTGCTGGCCGGGAAGACCAGCCGGGGTGGGTGACAGCTGCCCCTCCAGGAAGAGGGAGTGGACCACTGGGGCTGCTACCTGAAGCAGCAGGCTCTGCCTCTGGCCAAGCTGGGCCCCACAAAGAGCCTAGTGAGCCCTGCCCATTCCCTCCCGAACAGCTAGAAGCTGATTTCAGGCCCCACAGGGCTGGGTCCAGGTGAGCAGCTGCCCCTGGTGTTGGTCTTTCCTTCCCCCAACATTCTCAGAGGGGCCGGGCCACACGATGCCCGGGGCTGGAACGGCTCAGAGCACCCGCATGACTTCTCAAAGGGGTCCTGCTGGCTCTCTACATGGGACAATCCCCACCATGCTGGGCTATCACACCCTCTTTTGCAACTTAACCAATCGGCTCCCTGGGCCCTGCTAAGCCCCCCCACGCACCCTGACAACCCAACACCCCCCACTCACTTCCAAACACTGCATGGGAGTGTGGCCCTCCCTCTGCTGGCCAACTTGGTACAACCCCTTTGTAGTACAGATGGGTAAACTGAGGTCAAGGGAGATAAAGGCGCTTACCCAAGATCAAACAGGTAATTGTGGCAGAGCCAGGACCAGGACGGAGCCCCACACTTTGCCCAGCCCCGCCCAGGAACTGTAAACTAACCCTGGAAGTATCTGATCCCACAACGATCCTCTCACTCCCCTCGGCCAGGGAGGGGTGGACACACCTCTTGCAGACAAATGCCAGGCACACAAAGGCGCTCAGCTGACTACTGGCTGAACTGAGGTGACCTCAAAGGAAGAGATGGCAAACACGGGGCACCTGAGCCTCCCTGACCGCCTCTCGTGACACAAAGGCCCACTGGGGCCTCTTCGAGCGTGACTCACCACAACCTTGGGACCACAGACCCCGAACTCCAGGATGCTTGTCAAAGGCCAAAGAGAGATGACCTTAGGTGAACCCCCACTTCCACACGCAGCTACGCCAGACACCGTGGGGAGCCCGGAGTCTCACCACACAGGGGAGCCGAGGAAGGAGCGTTAGTTAAGGTTTGGAATCACACAGGTGCAGCTCAAAGCCTGACCCTCACACTTTGTGTGTCTTTCCTGGCGCAGAAGTGCCTTGGACAGAGCCAACTTGGTAAGTGGCAGCTGCCGTTATTACTACCGCGATCACCCTTCCTGCCCAAGGTCTTGCATTTCAAGAACATGAGAAAGCTCCCCCACTACAAGGCCCAGGGCCACTCCCAGATCCTGGAAGGGCCGGAGCGGCCACAGCAGAGAAGCTGGATGGGTGGGATGCAGGCAAAGGGGCCATGGGCTGCAGGAACCACAGACCAGTGGCCACAGAAACCTGAGCTGGGAGAAGAAATGGCCTGACTCAGAGGGGACCCAGCCCGGCCTCCAGTACCCCCTCCTGGGGCTGGGCTGTCCCGTGCCTGTGGTGAGAGATGCTGCATTCCCAGACTGCCACTCAGAGCCCCCTGCGCCCCCTCGATAGGGCCTGGGAAACATCAAAGCCGGCCCCGCGGGGCCCTCTGTCCTGACGTCAGCTCACAGCAGGTCCTGGTTAGCGCTTGGCTGGGGCAGACTTTAGATGTTACAAAAGGCAGGGAGAGCAGCCACCAGGCCTTCTCCAAGCCCCAGGGCCCGCTCTGAGCCCACAGCTGGGCCACGAGGCTCCGCGTGCAGGAGGCTGGCCCGGTGCTGTGGCATCACATGTGCTGAGAAGGCAGTGTGAGGTGTGCCTGGTCTGGCCACTCACACGGCTTTCAGGAGAGGTCAGCCGTTCTGTCGGGGGAAAGAGGCAGGAGACTTAAGAGGCAGACCAAGGGCCCGGGCAGAAACACCAGGCTCCCGAAAAAGCAGGGCTGGGAAGTGAAGACCTCTTCAGAAGCTTCGGCTGAAATGAAGGACAGCCATGACGGTGGAGGAGGAAGGCTTTGGGGGATGAGGTGGTACCGGCCTCAAGGTGGTACAGTCACCAGCACATTCCTGTCCCGGGACTACCTCTAGCCTGAGGATGCCCCCCGAGCTGTGGTCGGGGGAAGACCTTTGGTGGAACACGGTCATGGGCTTCCCAAAGCCGCCTCCTCTTCCCTGGTCCGGCCACACCATCTACGAATCTCGCCTTCTACACACAGGACCTCACAGAACACACAGCGATGGGCTCCCTGAGGCGCCTCGCTCAGGGTAGCAGCTGTGATGCTGCCCAACAGCCCTTCCACCCCTTCACAATGCCAACTTCGCCCGGCTTCTCCCCTTGCATTGAAATGGGGACCCGGCCCTACCACTCAGACGGTGAGGCTAAGTGGATGCACACAGTCAAAAGCCCATAGCACAGCGCGGAGCACACAGAGAAGGTAGGGGTGCAAGCAGCCCCCACCCCCGCCCCGCCATGACAGGCAGCAGAGCCAGCTGCCCACACGTGGCGCTGACCCCAGCGAGGCTGGAGCGGCAAATACCCAATAAGGACATTTTCCAAGCGGCTTTCTCGGCTCCCCAACAGCCATCGATATGCCGACACTCACTCTGCCGGAGCCCTGGCCCCAGCCCCCTGAGAAAGGGCTGTGTGGGCAGCAGCCCAACTCCCGCTCCCGCCCCCAGCACGCATCTGGTCTGGTGCCTGCCCTCGCTGCTGCTCTCTGGGCTCCAGGCCCAGTCCACCCATGTGTGTATACGTGTGCGTGTGCGCGCACACATATGTGTAAACATGATTTTATAGAGAGCAGAGAGCAGCAGGAAGTTTTTCTGCTCTGAAGTAATTTTAGCTTTAGTCCAAGTATCCATCTGGGCTACTCAGCGACCCATGTCTCGGGCTGTCCTCCGAGCCTGAGGAAAACACCCCGGCCCCCAGGACACTGCAGAGGCCCAGGACCTGCCAACTTGACCAGCTGATCTTATCTGCCCTCTCTCTGTCCCTCTTAGGAAAGAAACCCCATGCTTTAAACAGATGCCTTAGCACCAGGCTGAGATACCAAGATGACCCTGGTTGGCCCTGGAACAGGCATTTTGCAGATTCTGTGCAATCAAGTGAGTGACCGTGACCTCTCCCACGCACGAGGCCAGCCGGCCACAGGACAGTGGCTGACCCCTCCACACCTCGGACTCGTCCTGGCTGCAGGGCCCGGGGCCCCATGAGGTACTTCCTGATGCCTGGCTGCCCCCGAGAGCTCCGGCCTCAGTGGCTCCTAGTGGGGCATGCAGATCCCTGAGGGAGAGGCTGGCCAACTTCCTGTGCCCTGTCTGGGGCGGAGCATCAGGACACAGGCCAGGAGAGGCTGCCCTCAACCAGAGGCACAAATGCGCCAGTCAGCAGAGGGGCCCCCAGGACCCCCACCCACAGGAGGACAGCCCTCCTCACAAGTCCACTCCAGCTGGAAACTCCAGGGGCGCCGAGTGAGAGCCCCAGGAGTACCCTGCCCACTCGTCCTCCCCGAGGGACCCGTGCACGTGGCACAGACCCGTGGCCTTCAGGGGTCTAGCCGGCACACTTTCAGGGGCTCTGGAGCCACTCACAGGTCCGTGGCTGAGGCATTTGGAAGTTTCTGGAGAAACAAATCACGGCAGGAACAAGTCCCCCGGATGGACACCAGGCCCAGTCATCCCCCACGTTTACCCAGGTCGACAGAAACACAAATGCTGGATGGGATCGGCGGGTTCGGGCACCCGGAACGTGCCCCTCCGTTACCCCAGCACCGACACTGCCTGTGGCTCAGGCACCTGCAAACACACAGAGAAGCCCAGAGCATCAGGTTCAGAGGGTCGCTGAGAACCAACCCCAGCTGGCCCCACGACCCAGAGCGGAGCAGGAGCTCTGTTCCCCTCTGTCTCCCCAGCGTCTACAAAAGGCCCCGGGTCTGCTGACAGACGCCCCCGCAGCCTCCGCACACTGTACAGCCCTGGCTCTGAGCGACGCAGGAGGGAGCAGAGCCAGGGGCCCAGCTGAGTGTTCCTGTCCTGGGACTTAACTGTAAATATCTGGAGAGGCTCCCACATCCGGATTAGAGGAACAGAACAAAGTCACCAGGGATTAGGGCAGAAACAAGCTAGTGGGCCAGCTCTCCACCTTAGATGAAAACCACAGGTCAGGCCTGGCCTGCTCACTCCTGGGAGGCCCTGGAGGCGGAGACCTACCTCTAAGGCAGGAGGGTGACCTGGTATCCAACGGCACCTGGGCCCAGAGGGACACACATGCCAGCCGGCAGCCATACTACCCGACCCCAGCAGAGCCAGCCTGTCTTCTAGGGGGCGAGAGGGCCATGCCCGGGACACACCTCTCACCCTCAGGAACCCTGCCATGGCTGCCAGGCCTCCGAGGAAGCAGCAATGAATGAAAAACGCAGCCAGAAAGTAAGAAAGAAAGAAAGAACCCAGCCAGGGTGAGGCTGTGTGATCTTGCAGAAGGAACACGGGGAAGGGGGACCTGGATTCCAGTCTCAACGCAACCACTAACAAATGGAGTGGCCCTGGCATCAGCACCCCCTGCCCCCACCAGCCAGGCAGTTTTATTATCTGTAAAATCAGAGAAATAAGAGGGTGAGACTGGACAGCCACCAAGACCTAACACTGCTTCATTGCAACGATCCTCAGAGGCAGTCACAGAAACAAAGGGCTTACTCCCCTGAGTCCCCTCCCTGCCCCCCGCCCTGTCCCAAGAGCCCAGGCAACCACCCCCGGAAGGGATTAAAGGGATGCTATAAATGGCAGGTGTGCGGGTTGGAGGCAGCTGGGGCTTGCAGACGGGGACCCAGCACAAGCTGCTCCCATTCCTGTGGCTCCCCCGGAGATGCTGCCTCTTCCTTGGCCACACACTTGCACGGACAGCTCACGGCCTGCGCCATCCAGAATGTCCCGACCTGTGCCGTGACTGCGCTGTATCCCCCAAGCTGGACTGTGGGCTTGAGGGAGAGCAGATAATCGTGCCCAGCATGGTACGGCTGTGCTCTTCAGAGTGCCTGGGCCACAGAGCGGGCACCTGCAAGCCTTCCGGGGGGAATAAAGTCACGATGTGACCTCAATTCACAACAGCTAAGATTCAGAAACAGCCTAAGTGCCCATCAGCAGATGAGTGGGTTAGAAAACTGTGGAACATCTACACAATGGAATACTATGCTGCTGTAAAAGAGAAGGAACTCTTACCATTTGCAACAGCATGGATGGACCTGGAAAGCACCTGGGAGGTGGGGTAAGAGATCAACCAAAGGACTTGCATGCATGCATATGAACATGACCAATGGACACAGACCAGGAGCATGAGGGCATGTGCTGGTGTGTGGGGGGGTGGGGGAGGTGGCCAGGGATAGGTCAATAGGGGGAAAAGGACTTATGTAATACTTTAAATAATAAAGGATTTAAATTTTTTTAAAAAAGAGTCCATGTGACCTGAAATCTTGTTCTACATCCTTAACTGTCCTCTCTGGGTCTCAGTTTCCGCACCTGGAAATGGCAGCCTTGAAACTGACTTTAATGATTCTTTCTCAGGCCCCTAACCGTGGTCGACAAACCGCGGCTCGTGAGCCACATGTGGCTCTTTGGCCCCTTGAGTGTGGCTCTTCCACAAAATACCACGTGCGGGTGCGCACGTACAGTGCGACTGAAACTTCGTGGCCCATGCGCAGAAGTCGGTATTTTGTGGAAGGGCCGGTATTCTGTGGAAGAGCCACACTCAAGGGGCCAAGGAGCCAAATGTGGCTCACGAGCCATGGTTTGCCGACCACTGCCCTAAGATATTCAAATGAAACGCACATTCGGTACAGACCATAAAAGTCTGCATGGTTTTGAGGGAAGTAAAAACCCCCAGAAGTTCCAGGGGGGAATGGACCTCAGATGGAAATGTCCTTCGACAGGTGATCCCCGAGGTGTCCAAAGGCCTGGTGTGGAGGGCCGGGGAGTGGCTCTGGACTAGAACCGCCGGGGAGAACCAGTTCTCGCCACACTCTATGCCTTGGGGTAGATCCATCCTCAGCCCCGAGAAGGAGGGACAGACAGAGAGACAGAGACAGCAGCCAGCTGTCTCCTGAAGACGCCAGCACATCGTAGACAAACCGATGGGGCTGCTGGGCTGCGACTGGGAACGGAGCCAGCAGCTCAACCCCAGGACGACCTCAGGACGCTCAGGGGGAGCGCTCAGGGAGCCCAAAGGGGGCGAGGGGTCACCCAGAGAAGGTGGAAGGGGGTTTCCTGTGGGCTCCACTGTCTTTCATTATAGGGGTCCAGATGCAGGGCCCAACCAGGCCTGACTCCCAGGTGCCGTGGCGAGGGCTCTGGGAGACCACAGGGAGAACAGCAGGGCACTCAGGCCCCGCGCCAGCTTCCCATGGTCCTTCCTGTGGAGGCTGAGGGCAAACTAAACGACAGCCGGGGGTCCACTACCTTGGTCCAGTACTGGCTGGGCCAAGTCTTAGTTTATTAATTTTCATGACAAGCTCAGAAAACTCTGTGAGACCCCATTTTCTGAGCTCCTGTTACCCATACTTGCATCACCACCGCTCGGAGACTGATAAGACAGTGAGCACAGACCCCAGACCTAACCAGAGTGGTCACAGACGTTCACCCCAAATTCCCTGTGGAAGGGACAATATGGCTTCCTGCCCTTTAGAGGGAGTGGCCTCACCTACATTTAATGAGGAAAGTTCCCCCCTGGACCCGCTCTGTCCAAAATGGTAGCCACTGGCCACGTGGGGCTATTTAAATTCAACAATTAAAATGAAACAAAACTGCCCTAACCGGTTTGGCTCAGTGGGGTCCCAGTTTCGATTCCGGTCAAGGGCATGTACCTTGGCTGTGGGCACATCCCCAGTGGGGGGTGTGCAGGAGGCAGCTGATCGATGTTTCTCTCATTGATGTTTCTAACTCTCTCTCTCCCTCCCTCTCTGTAAAAAATCAATAAAATATATTTTTTAAAAAACGAAACAAAACTGAAGGTTCATCTCCTCGGTCACACGAGCCACCCCGCAGGTGCTCAGGCCCCGTACTGAGCAGTGCAGACACGGGACACTTTCCACTCTGCAGAGTCCTCCCGGACCGGCTGCCCCAGCTCCTCTGACCACGTGCCTGTCGCCGGCACCTGACTTCTCATCCAAAGAACCCTCGCCACGGGCCAGCCTCATTCGACAGAGGGCACTGGAGTCGAGGCAGGGCCAGTCAACGCAGGGCCAGGAACTGTCGCTGGTCTGGCCGGCTCCTGCGAATACTGAGGCCACACTGGCTGCTTCTCAGCGCTTTCCCTGACTCTCCCCCAACAGGTCTGTCGGGTTTAATGTAAAACCTCCCCTTGCGTGTGCTCTGGCAAAGTGTGATTGTGGTTCACCTGCAGGTCTCCTGACCTACGTCCATCGTCTTGTATTCTCTCTCCCTCTGCTTCTCACTGTCACCCGTTGGGCACTACCCTTCCCTGTGGCCGTCACCTACATGCCGCTCTCCCCGCAAATGAACGAACACACTGCTGGGCTTGGGAGGGTGGGGAAGGAACACATGAATCTTTTACACACAAGGACGTGGCTGAACATGGCTGTCCACAGTCTGAACATCTGTCTTTGCGCCCCAGCCTCCTCTCTGTGCCCCCAGCACCCTGCCGGGGCCTCCAGAGCACACCTCGCCCCACAGCCCGTTTCCCCCACGCATCTGGTATCGTCAGAGACTGGTGAGACACACACACACACACACACACACACACACACACACACACCCGTTCTCCTGTTCTCCTCCCTCCTCCCCACAAGCCCCAGAAAGTCACTGAAGAGGCTGGACCTCAGCTGGTTTCAAAGGGATGAGAGAGAAAAAGCCAGCCTCATACTTTTAAGTTTAGAAGTTGCTGTGCAAACCACTTCCTGAGCAGACAAGAGTGGGGAATGTGAGGAAATCACTCTGCTATGTGTGATGTGGGAGCACCAGCCACTCCGGGCCTGTGGCAGCCACACACCCAGTGACACGCGGCGATGCTCAGCACATGTGCAGGAGACCGACAGTGCCCCCTGGCAGCCGGGGGGGGGGGGGACCCCCTCGGACAACACGCTCAACGGCCTGGCTGTCTGTCCCTCCCTTCAGGGCCAGAAATGAGGCAGGGCCCAGGAGTGAGAACTAGACCCCATCTTCAAAGTGCCCAGCCCCCAACCTTCCTTTCTTTCCTTCTCCACCTGTCTCACCAACAGCTGCTTCTGGAAACCAACCCTGCTCTCCAGGGAGGGATCTTAGAAAGGGATGCTCTAGGCTTTAGGGCTCAGCCTGAGACACAAAGATAAGGATCCAGAGACAAGGGTGCTCTCCTGGACGCTAGTCTGCTGGGGCTGGGGGATGAGGGAGGGGGAAGATATCCTGTGGTTGATATCCAACTACCGCAGCCATGATCACTGCTCAAATATTACTCAGATGTACTGGAGTCTGGCCCGGTGTCGCGGGGTGAGGGGGCGCCAGTGGAGAGAGGAGGAGGTGGAAGGCAGGCCAGATGCTTACGTAGAGTCAAACCATCAGACGCTTCCTAGACCCTTATAAACCTCATTTTATTGCTTAAAATATAAACTTCCTAATAAGGCAAAACTAACTTCATTCTTTTGTTTAAT